AATACAGACCCCGATAAAGAGACGCATAAGTTTAAATTTTTAAAAAAAAAAATTAAAATTAAAATTTGTATAGGTATTTAAATTTGCGAAGGTACATTATTACTATACTAAATATAGCGAAAGTACTTATTCCTCGAGGTCAGAGGTGTCCGGGTCTCTTGGCCTCCCCCCTAAAATCGGCCCTCGGTATATGTAAATCAGTGAACTGTCGCTGTCGTTCAACGGCCGAGTCATAGGTTTGCACTTATTTCGTCGAAGCATTATTGGGTTCGGATAGCCAATAGTATATGGTTATATATTTTTCCATTTGCCCTATCCCTGAATCCATTTTGGCTCTACGATGGCTATGCAGATGGTGTAGGTTTTAGATTAAGACACTTTTAACTTACACCAGGCATTATATCAGATTTGGACCAACAACAGTATAGGTTATTTTTCGTATAAAACTCTTTAAACCTCTTAAAATTCGGGTCGAACTTTGGTAGGGTCTGTAAATACGCCGCCAAATAGCCCGAGACTTAGGGTTTTCGCAGCTTCGTGTGTACAGTCGAAAAACGTGGTTTGCCTAAAGTAGTAAAATACGTAGTGAAATAAGTAGTAGAAAATAACTAAGGGGAACTCGATGCATTTGGATTTTTCGGTTTTACTAGAATTTTAGGCGTGAAAATTTTAAATGCATAATATGATGGAATTTTATTTTTTCAGTGCATTTTTAGATCATTATTGTACGCAATTATAGTTAATATTTGTATTTATTATACGAGTGTAAGTTCGTATTTTTGTTTTTATTTGCTTCAAACGAGCAAACTTTTATTTTGAAATTTTTTTTCATTTTTTTTTTTTTTTTATTTCCGAATGGTTTTTAATTGTCTTTATTGCGGCCTATAGGAAAAGTCTAAACATTTTTATATTACGTTATTTTTAAAAATTTTCGTATTAATACTCGGTAAATTTTCGAAACATTTCATTACGAAGTAGTACACTAGTAGTACAAGTAGTGCTGTGAAAATTGCGTGTCTCGCTTTATATTCTCCGTATTAGAACGCCTAATCCATTGACTCTGTATCCATATTCCGGACGATCCATTTATAACCGTTTACGGCCAGTAACAATAATTATTGAACATTCCGTTTTGTCGGTATAACATACAAGTATACCTACCATTTGCTGCGTAGACCGTGAACGTTTTAAAGTTATTATCTTACTGCGCTATATTGAAATTATGTTATCTTTCGAGAAGCAATTTAACCACTAGATAAGAATTTTTTCGACGGACTGCGCAGATCAAAGGAAATCGATGGCGGTCGTCCACTCGTCCTTAATAAAAATAATAAAAAAAAAAAATATACCACGTTTTCCCCGGAACGGTTATTCGACCTCTCCGCCGAATGTCACACGGTCTTATACGATGTCGGTGATAGAATCGACGGCCCCCGCGAACTATAATATATTAAAATAGTCGAAGTACTGATAAAATTCGACTAAACGATATTATAGTATTATTCCGATCTAACGGCGTATATAGTTGTGCAATTACGCGGAGATAAAAAAAAAAAAAAAAAAATTGTACACATGTTATTAAATACGGATCATAACGCGCAACAATAACGTGTACGGTCAGAAATAAAATGCATTATTATAATTATGTGTGTATAATATTACTATCGGAATGTATTTTTACTAACTGTATTTGAGCCGCCATCATCGTTTCGTTCCAATTAAGAAAAAAAAAAAAAATGTTTTATACGTTCAAACGAATGTGGAACACCGTTTTTTTTTTTTTTTTACAAAACCGTCAATACAAAATATAATTATTATTATTATTACGAATTGCAAGGTCGCAACAATAATATCCTATAATCGGGAAAATTATTTTTAAACCGCACATAAATAAAATAAAATAATGGTTAGGTTTACTAGATGTTGCGCCACTAGAGTCGAATTTTCTCCCTGCGGTTGACTCATTGTTACCGTTATAATATTTCACGAGTCTGTAAGAGAATTTAAAATCCGATAATAAAAATGGTCGGGGCAAAGGTTGAAAGTTGATGCTACCAAACGTCTTTGATACTCACACCGTATAATGAATTTCGCCCCGTTGGCTTCGTTTAAGGGACCTATAGGGGTGTACAAAACTAAAAAAAAAACCCCCCCTCCAATAATAACAACAATTCGGTGAAATTCATATTGAAATACAACCGAAATATTATCACTTCTAACCGCCTATAAAAAAAACTCGAATTCTCGAATTCGAGCTCTTTTGGTCAGAGGGATTTTCACTAAATTATTATTAAACTCCGAAGTATACATTTTTTCATTCTCAAATCGTTTTTCAGTCAAGTTAATATTTAATTGTTAAAAAAAAATCCTGTCGTTTCGATCAATAGGCTCGCTGATTTGTTAATATTGCTTGGCAACTCGTGTATTGCCATGATTATTGTCCCCGGTCAACGTGCAGGATTTATAATATCATACACACAATTTGATTGGATAGACAAAAACCTTTTTCCAGGTTCGAGCGACGACCGTTCATAAAAAATACGCAACCTCTATTGCAGATTTTATTGTCCCTCGTTGATATCTGGTGTGCAGTACGTTACACAGTAACCGCGGAGTAATATCGCAAACTTTTGCGTGGGGGAATTCGCGTCTTATCATATACAATTTCTTACATAGTTTCGACAAAGGTTTTCCGCTGCTGTCTAACGTTAGAGGCGGATTTTCGAATTTTCAATAGTGTAAAATTTAACCCTCCTTTTTTTTTTTTTTTTTCTGTTCCGGTGAAACCGCGGAGATTAAGTGTATGTATTACACATTCGACACAATACTGCAGTTTTTGTACAGCTACGGCCATGTCATTAAATCGGTTTGAAAAAAAATTAGTCGTATAATAATGCCGATGAAATCACTATGCATTGTTGTAAACTTTAAACGCCATCACGCGTCATACTCGTACACAGTCGCGTTTTATTTGTATTTTTTTTTTTTTTGATAATATGCACGCGCACAAGCGTGGCGGTCGGTGCACAACGATAATCGTAATACTGCAAAGGGCGTGTATAGCAAAGGTGAAACACGTCACTCGTGTAGTAGTAGTAGTAGTGCTCTAAAATAATATACAGAATACGGAATCGACAGAAAAAAAAAAAGAAAAATGAAACATACCGGTCATTTATATTACTCGTAACACATGCGGACGCCGAACCTCGTGTCCATAATAGTAATTTATCATTACTCGAATTTAAACGTGTAAAAAACGAGTTGATAGTTTTCATCGCGTACATTTTCTCGTTGCGCTCGCCTTCATTTTCTTCAATTTATCAAGGAAAACCGAAAAATGCGACGGCTAGACAACGTTTTCTGCCAGAAACTGCTCCTGGAGTTGTTGGTCGGAGCAATAAGTCCTTTTAATCGACCTTATACGTCGTCACTCCCGACGAAAACATTTGCATTTTCATCATTTTCCCGATTGTTACATAAAAATCTGTACATTTTTTTGTTTACATTTCTACAAAAACGGCAGTATTATTATTTCACCAAAGAGGTTCTAAACTTCTAAAAGTCAAACAGTGTTTCCCACGAAAATAGAATTGTGTTCGATCGGCACTCCTGAACGTTTGCATAAACACGTGGTTACGCGGCCTTATTCGTTGAGAGTGGCTAACCTAATAATTCCGTTTATTTTGTTGTTGGTTTCGGACGACCTCTGATCAAACCTATATATTATTATAATATGGGTTACGAGGTCGACATTTGCATAATATATATATCTTATAATCTTATATTATTATTGTGATTAAAAAAAACAACCGCCGGTGGCCGCGGACGATCTGCAACGCCTAAAAGTAAACTTTGGATCGCTGTCAAGCGGACCGGTGTGCCGCGATGATGATCAAAAGTGGCAGCGGCGGCACAGATGCGTTTAAAAATAGTTAGCTCGAACGAGAAACCGCTGCGCCGAGCTTCGTCGCCACCGTTTTATTATTAATTTTATTTGTTTCGAATTTTATTATTCGACCGGACGATCGACTGGCTCGTCGAAACAACCGTGACAGTACGTATGTACGTAATATATATCAGTGGCGCACTCAAGGGGGCTGATGTGGGTGATACATCACGTGAAAAGTTTAATTTTTTTTATTATAGTTTTCACCCGTGGGTTACTTTTTCGAGTTTGCCGTATCTTTAATGTTCGCAACTCTTCGGGATAGGTTTTTGTAGTACGCGTACCCTTTAGTCCTAGTTAAATTAATCATTAAAAATCCTTAATCATTAATAATCCTGAAAAATAAAAACCCGACGCGTCACGCTTCTTCTTCTTTTTTTTTCTAAATTTATGCGTTTCCTCGTTTCAAACTACTCGTACAACATTGCAGACATCGGGTAACACTAGAAGTCTCGACGTCGTGATTTCTACGGTTATGAAAATCTGATATCCTCTGCCGCCGGCGATGGATTGGAATAAGTTTTCGGCGGCAAATTTTACTACAGCGTCCGAAAATGAACAAAAAAAACTAAAAATGTCGTTCTAAGAAGTTTCAAAAACCCTTTTCAAATGCGGCGATTATCGTACGATAAAATACAAATCATAATAAAAATTTACCACCGTAATACCCGACGCCCGATACTCGTGAATATTTTTGATAAATCTCCGAGTTAAAACGAACGACGCGATATTCAACTCGGCCGATTTGCACGCAGGTACGAGTATATCGGTACGCGTTTTTGTGTCAAATCCGTTTTTGCACACCTATAGGCCAGAAATAGTCGCCGTACCGAAAACTTGCAGCGATATAACACGGACGGTGCACTTGGAACCGACTCAGAATTGTCGTCTGTCTGGCAAATTTATTCTATATTTATTATTTGATGTTCTTTTCTCGTTAAACTGCAGTTACCGGCCGCAGTAAGCCGGACCATTTATAAGTTGGCCCGGACCGCCTATAATAAGTTTTAGCGCACCGTGTTTACACAATGATATTCTCCACCACTCACTCTGCAGTGTTAAACGCTCGAGCGTCCGTCACTCGTCCGCAGTTTTATTCGCCCGTGCAAATTTGTTCGTGTTTAACCGAGCAACTTTAGGTAGTACGTTTTGCGGTGCCGTATAGCACGTTGACAGCGCTCCGTAGCGAAATATTCTTACCGCCTCTATAATAGGAAATAGAAATTATACCCTTTGTCACCGGACCGGTGTTCTGACACGAGTAATTATACGTGTGTAATTTTTTTTTTTTAAACTCAAAAACCGGGAAATTAAACGATAAAACCGTATCGACTCCGTAAGTCCGGTCTTACACATTCTAACGGTTGGCATTTATTTTGTGTAATCCGAAACTGGTAAATTAAATTTAACTAGTTATTTGAAAAAAGAACTGACACATTGCCACATATGTAATTTTGTGTGAGTTTTGCATTTCGACCCGAAATTCGTATACGCCACTAAACGAAATTATTAATCTTGTTATCTTACGTTTAATTGCATAAACAACAAGCGCTGATACGTAAAAGGAAATCCTCGAGTTAAAATGTGGTGGTACTTTTATTATTAATTTTTTTTCTAACCATAAAAAAATGTTTAGGTAAATATATTAAATACCGACATAAATGTACGTGCTACAGCAAAAGCTTTTGGTTGGGCTAATACTTATGGAGGCAGTTATGTCAAAGGATATTTCACAGTTAAAAAATACGGCTATTGAGCCTTTTAACGCCCTCGACTAAAAAATTCACACGTTTTGAGTTTTGGTAGGTTTTGATTGCGGTATCAATTGTTCTGACACTACACATTTTTAACGCATTTTTATTTTATTTTTTAATAATATATGATTCAGCAGACATGAGTGTAAATTAGTATATCCCAAACTATTCTAAATACTGTAGTATTCTCAGTAACACTTAACTATAAGACGTGTGCTATATTTTCTCGAAAAATTATTTTTTTGGTTAGTAAAAATGATCAGAATCTTTCGCGCATTACTTTAAAATATGTGTTGTTTTGTGCGGATTTGGGTTGTACGTGTTTCGATAGGCCGTAATATTTACGATTTTAAAATTTTACCATTCGTAAATGGCCTTTGGAAAAATCAAAAAATGACCTAATACGACTCCAGTCAATTTTCCTTCCAGGAAAAGTGTTACACTTGAAAACCGGAACCAAATTTTTGGTAGAAAAGTGAAAAAAAAAAAAATAATAATAAACATCGTTGTAAAAACCAATACGTTCCTCGCTCCGCTCAAAATCTGAAAATTATGCGCTTTTAGACAATATAGTACGATTATATTATTATTATATGTAATTTCAACTGTGATTTATCGCGACGAAGAATAACAAATTGAATTCGAGCAGTTTTCGTATTAAATATTTTACGCTATTGAATTGTCCGTCGATATAAATAATATTTCTTAACGATTCGAGATTTATGAGTCATGACACGGCGTTAAAATGTTTAATCGTCTGCGGTAACAATATTATCATTAAAATGCTATACCGTCAAAAAATAAAACAAATTAAATAAAAGTGATAACATTGATAACAATAAAGGACACCAATTACTTGTATATTATACATTATAGATTCTGAGTGCGGTCAATTTTCCATTAGTGTCATACTAGATGAGATATATTTCTTTTTGTCATCGACAAACAATTTTGAGTTATAATATATGCTTCAAGTTATTCGCAGAACATTTTAAAATACGCGGAATTTTCGCGCGGCGGTACTTTATACGGAACCAATTTATCGATTCCCAACAGTTTTTCCGTGATATTCAAAACACCAACCCATAAAGTGCGCGAAATGCCGATGCATTGGTTTTGTTTTGGGCAAATTTCTGGGTTACTTTGGCTGTAAGGGAAAAAACCACGACTAATACTGCTCGCACACTACTTTATTCATCCGATCGCCACGAAACTTTGGGATGCTGTTGCATACTCCAGTGAAGATTTCTGGCATAGTATATGTATGGAATTCTTCGATGGCTCCACTATCATGCACAAAAAACCGGGTGTGAGGTACTTTTTGGTTCGAAGGTAAAATATTGTTTTTTTTATATTTGGGTCACCTTGGTAAAACACGGATGCAAAAACAAATATAATTAGTTAACTAGGTTGTCATGTGGTCGAATTCGTATTATGTTTCTGGTATGTATTCAATGAGTGTGTATACTATAGGTAGCTACGTGTTTTTTTTTTTCGCCGTGATTGCAGTGAAAATGTTTAATTTTAATTGCTGACGAAGAAATCAGTATTGTGTGCACTTCAGTTCATGGCCGACATAAGACATTCGTAAAACATACGATATTTGAAGACCGTACACAAGACGTATATATACATACATAAGACATACATATCTTCTTTGATTTTTCGAATACTGTGTCGTCGACAGAAATGCTCCCCAAACGGAAATTGGTCGATCTATATCTGAAGCACGAAAGAAAAACACATTATACGAGCAACGAAAAGCAAGATTAGAAAAAGAATATAATAAATATAAAAAAAAAAAAAAATATTGAAAATTTGCATTTGGCGTAGCTATATATAAAAGCTTGTTCTGCTCGGCGTTGCCAGTGCCGATTTTTCAATATATTTCTTTATATACGCGTAAAACACCAAAGTACAATTATGATGCCCGGTGTAATCTCTGAAACTACCCTTGGAATCATTATGTGTCTTTGTGTATTTTGTTTTTTAAAATGATACGCAGTATATTGGAGAGTGTTTTAAGCTATTGAAAACACCGGTCCGACCGGCGGAAGTAGTAGACGACCGAACCCGCAATAGTCCGGGCTGGATGAAAACAAATGTATGTATAAGGTATTTTCATTTGCTCGGCAACCGTATAGCTAATTTATATAAATTTGAAAATAAAAATAAACAAAACGCATTTTCAAACATTTGAGGGCAACGGTTAACTGCAGTGATTGTGACGGAGATTGAAATATGAATTCTAGGGGGAAATCGTTTTTATTAAGCATTATTTGGCACGGGCAACGCCGGGCGGGACAGCTAGTACATTATATAAATCTTAAAAATCCCTAGACAATATTATATACTCTTTTAAGTCGATAAACATTTTAAAAAACGATATGTTTTGAGCGAAATGTTAATAATAATAATAAAAAAAAAAAAAAAACAACAAAACATCTAATTATTAAAACGTCACGTGAATATATTTGTGCGCGCATTATTACGGTAAACCGAGAAATACGTGCGCGGTGTTTATGAAATTCAGGCGAATGTTGCAGTGTTCGTGCTTAATTGATATTTTCTACTAAAAAAATTAAATATACTATACAATTTATTTTGGTATTTCGGTTACCCGGAGAAATGTTTTTTTTATGTTTTATTATATTTCAAACGATTGGCGATAAAATGCATGTAACGTGCGTCGTACTGTTACAACAAACAAAAACCACACCGAAACATTTTTCGAGCCAAACGATTTTGGATACGTTACGAGTGTAATAATATTAATAAACGGAAAAACCGCAACACGACGTTTACGGTGTTATTGTTACAAGGCGAGGTAGGCGATTCGCCAAAGAAAACTGAAAAAAAAAAACTCTTTTTCGGTTTTTCGTTTGTATTTTTTTTTTTTTTTTTTTTTTATACGCCGTTAAAGAACGAATACGATCGTGCGGGACGGACGGGCGATTCGCAGGAACGAAACGTCGTTATTACATTCTCGTGTACTGGTGTATAATGAAAACAAAACAAAACGGGGAAACGTAACCGTACCAGAAGTTCCCGGCCGCAGTAAGTTTGTGACGTAATTGCATTCATATAATTGCTCGAATTTTCGAACGGAACGTCCGGGTGTTGTTATTATTTTTTTTTTTTTTCAACTATATTATCGCACAACATCAGTATTGTGTTGTTCACGGACTCTCCAATACGGAAAAAATAATAATATTTAAGAACACCAGAAACAATTCTAGCCTCTCGGTTAGGAGACTGCGGACGTCGATTATATTTTATTGCCCCGCCAACTTGCATTCCTTGTACATTGACGACGGTTAAGGACCGGATTTGATTGCAATCGCAAATTATACTGCAACAAAGACGAATCAGATCTGATTGAACACGTAGCCGACATAAACTAAAGATATTCTGCCCGTTTAATTTTATAATGCAATTTTTTTTGTCAGTTTTCGACGTTTTTGCAATTTTCCCACGTTTTTGAATCGTAAGCGTTTACCTTTCGTCTGGAGTTTTCTAGAAGCTCGGAGGGCCCATGGTGGTGATTAAATTCAACGCAGTAGTACAGCGATTCGTGTGAGTTTACCCGTTGGTGTCTTAGTGTCTATTTCTTTGATCGGTTTGACCGCACAGTGAAGTGTATTCGACGCAATGCTAAAATTTAAATCAATTTAAAAAAGTAAAATTTCCAATCGGATTGCTCCTTACAATGGAAATAAAGAAGTATTTTCATCAGATGGAAAGGTTATATATTGTCTCGTATGTAACAAATATGTGTCTACTGAAAAAAAAATATCGAAAAAAATCGTCATTCCAAAACAAGTAAGTTTTGTATTTTATGCTCATCATTTTACGCGCAATATATTACATATTATTTCAAAAAAAAAAAACATGTATATTTTTTTTATTTCAATACATAAGTGTATTACAATGGAATGGAGAAAAAAATAGCTATCGATTACTTCTCCAAATTCGAATAGTAAAAATGTATTTTTTGAAGATTTATATAATGCATTTGTTGCAGCAAATATCTCATTGTGTTCATGTGTTAAAATCACTTTTGGAAAAACATGCTGGTAAATCAATTCCGGACGAAATCATGTTCAGAAAAAATTACATATCAAATATGTATAAAAGCGTTATGGACCAAATAATCAGTGATATTGGAAATAATTACGTTCACATAATTGTTGACGGAACAACTGATCCAAGAGTTTTGTATAAATAATTTGTTTAGTTTTTTATATAATAAAATATACTGTTTTCGTTTAGGTTCGGCTATTGCAAATTTATCAATTGGTAAATTAGACGGGACGCCTAGTTAATGATATTCGGTTGCATGTAAAGAACTAGAATCCATCAATTATGAAACTATTTGTCAGTTTATTAATTCCTCGTTAAAAATATTTCCTGGTATTGAACAAAAAGTATTAATTTTTATTAGCGATGCTGGTACTTATATGTTCAAAGCAACAAAAACATTAAAAATATTTTTCCCGAAATTAATTCATATTACATGTATGGCGCATGCAGTTAATAGAGTTTTAGAGAAAATTCGACAATTGTATTCTGACATTAATAAATTGATTGACAATAGTAATATATTATTACCTATTTAAAATTTAAATACATATGCAACTTATTTCGTTTATTTCAGGAAAAAAAGCTCTCCTAAAAGCACCATCGAGAATGAATAAATACAGAAAAGAAATGCCGGGTACACCTTTATCATCCGAACCAATTATTACAAGATGGGGAACATGGTTAAATGCCGCACTTTTCTATACAAATAATTTCGGAAAGTTTAAAAACGCGATTGGAAGTTTAACAGATGACGCACGAGTTTCGAAAAGCTGAAACAGATTGTACAAAATAATGCAGTCAAATGTGGTTTAGCATTCATAAAATTACACTTATCTGAGTTATCCAAGAGTCTTAAAAATTTGGAAGAATTTATTAGTGAACTACTGAAAAGCGTAGATATTTTAACAAATATTTCTGGTCCAAACGGGAAAAAAATTAAAGAACAATAAATGTATGTAATTAAAAAATATGAAAGGCATAAAACTTTGATGTCTTACGATGAAATCATGTCAGATAAAGCAAATGTTAATTGAGATATAACGCCTACTTTATTAAATTGTTTTAAATATGCACCAATAACTATTGTACACGTAGAACGTAGTTTTTCTTTGTACAAACATATTTTAAGTAATAGAAGATTTAATTTTAATGAAAATAATTTAGAAATGTATCTAATTATCAGTTTTAATTAAAAAAGTAAAATTTATCTAATTTATTTTTATATACATTTCGCATTTTTATAGCGCAATTTATACGTATTTTTTGATGCAATTATATAATTTGAATATGCAATTTTTGTGTGTTTTAAATGCAATTAAATCTGGTCTTTAGTGATAGTATTTAAGGGTATTCAAATATAATGGAAAAATATTATTTTCTCTTCATTTGTCTACTGATTGAGATCATGATCAGGATTAGTGTCCCAGTATCGTTCTTTATATACAATACTGAGGTATGCTAATACGTCTGATAGGATAATAAACAAAGAAACATCTAATTTGAAGTCAATAAAAACAATAAGTCCTAAAACATTGTAAATGATGAAATGACTATAATTGTATACGTTTTATGCCTTTTATTAATACGGCTGTGTATATGCATGCAATTGAAATACATTTATCTAATTTGAATATGTATCCCGTTAGGCATTAATAAATGTATATATTATGTATACCGTGTTAATATTATTGGTATGTTTATTTGTAATTATCTGATACTGACTAATAGTTAAAAATGTATATTTGTGACTTGTGTAGTGATTTTCGAAAACCTAACCTGACCTAACCTTGTCTATTTCTTTTATCTACTCGTTGATATGTAATTTTGTGAACCGATATATTTACACACTTAGTAAGTTACATTACTTATACCTTTTATTTAATAAATATACATCCAAATGGCTAGCTGTTTGTTTTTCTCTACATTTCGCATTTCGCATCGTCTGCCATTTTCTATACATTCAAGTTTTCTTTAGGTCGTCCTATTTATTTTCAACTTACTTCCTTCCATATGTCAATCTGTTTTACCATAGGGTTTCATCTTAGTGATGATGTCAATTTTCGTAAAATATTTCCTTGATTTTAGCCTGCTACGAGTCGTTACGGCTTCATTATATGTGAGTCGCTGTTAGCTAGTCACTTTATGAATTACCTACACACATTGCACGCCCCGTGGTCGTTTATTTGTTTTAGATGCTGTTTCTCGTCTTATTTCGGACGTCGCCATTCCACACAAGATTTATACTTTATCAATAAAGGTTAATTTTAAACATTATGCTATTATTCGTCTTATCGTATCATTTAATACTCTATCTATCTTATTCGCGTAGGATAACTGTCGGCACACGGGGCACGCGTATTCCTCAGTCGAGTAACTCAAAGCGAGCCCAGATGTTACTATCACATTCGGGTCAGTGCCGCGTTTCGTTCCCACTAGTTCCTTTATCGGGTTATTTTCTTACCACGGTGTATTTGTTTACTCTCTCGTAATGCGCTTTGCACGTTAATGATGACGGTCTATACAATTTATACCTAACCCATTCCTTAACCAGATATATATATAAGTATTCGGCATAGACAATGCATATAATGAACGGTTAGAACATTACTGTGCGTATCAGTTACTTATCGGGCAGTGTTTTCGAATAAGGAACACAAATGGCAATTTTAACAATACCAAAATCATATCTTATTGTCAACTTGCCAATAAATTAACTTTCTTCTTCTTCGTCTTCAGCTTGTCGGTAAGATCCGTTGCTGTCGTCATGTTGAGTCCTCTCCGTCTCTTCTTGTCGTGTACCGTGTCTGCATTGACTTTTCTTCCTTGAATCATTTCTTGTTACCACGTGAATAGCGAACACTGATTGTATATTTTATTGGTAGGCGAGACAGAATATTCACGAATGCGCGATAACCGATATAGCCTATCCGTTATGTGCTACGTATTATCCATGGTATTAGGTGCCTACACTGTCTCCTCTAAGGTATTATATACACCATAATGACTGTACAGTGTATGAAAGTTTTGGAACACGTTTTACTTACCGACAAAAGTGTGTTTTACGAGACAGATAACGAGACTGTAATAACCTGCCGCTCTACCGAGGCTTACCAAATTATAGAAAGAAAAAAAAAAGTATTATTTTTTAATATACATTAAACGGGTACATATTTTCGGTGTGTGTGGGACGTATAATTATATAACGCGAGTTACTGGCACGGCGAAGAGCGTGCGTTGACAATGGCACCTATTCAGGTAGGTACGGCCCGGTACGACCGAATAGCTATATAATAATATTATTTTTTAAAACGTCCAAATTTTTAAGTATTTTCTCTTCTGCGCCGGTGACGAAGTACACGATTCCGCCGTGTCGTGTACTGCAGCAGACTTGATCGAGTAGAAAACTCGTTTTGTTTGTTTTTTTTTTTTTTTTTTTTTTTTTATTTCAACATCGCCATCACATCTACTTGACTGAATAACCCCGTCGATGATAATACGACCAATACATTTTATTGTACTTATTTTCGAACATATTTTTTTATTATTATTATTTCCAATTTTTCGTACACTCTGGCTTGTAATTTATTAGGATCTTTATCAGGCTTACAAACAAGTCGACAGACAGGACACCGAAATCATAAGAAGTAATTATTTTCCTTCGGTATAATACGATATGATGGACCAGTGGCTCACCCCACAACACTCATAAAATAATTATTAATAGACAGGTACTTTTTCTAATATAATGCGCAAGTTTTGAAAGCCATTTCGAACGGCGTGCAATTTATACAAAAGACTCGTTATACCTATATACCTGTTAGAATCCCGTTTATTAAAACATCGTAAATGCGCAAAGCCACAATGGGAGAACAACTATTTCGGACTGTATACCTACATACCGTGGTCACTATTATCGGTATAGGCGCGTAGTCGATCGTGCGGTTCAAACAACGAAGTTTTGCCGTATGATAAATCGCCGAAATCCAAACAGTTCAAAACAAGACGGATACTCTTAGCATAATATATCATACTGCGTTAATGACTGACACGCCGGAACGCAAATGAGTAAAACGTTTTTCGGAAGAAAAACCATGACTAATTATACGGCGTTTAAAATAGACGAAATAAAATAATTACGTGCCTAATTAATATTTATATCGCGGACACGGTGTTATACAGACAGTCATATTTTAAACATCGAAACATCAAAGCATCACTTTGGGGAATCGACAGCTAAATAATAACGATAACACCGCGATACATCGAGAGCAGTGCACAGTACTCATGTATATAGGTCGCAGTGCAATTACAAGTTATAAATTAAATTAAAGTTTGAAACGGATTTTATGTAAATACGAAAAAAAACAACGTCGAACAGCAAACTCGTATTTGTATCAGTTTTAAACACGGTCCGAACGCAATTCATAAAAGTAATTTGAAAATGAATAACATTTTCCACGAAAAACAAAAAGAAATCCATCCGATGTTTTCGAAAGAAAAGTTCCGAGAAGAATTTTCGGACCATGAAAGGTATACATGATTACTCGAACTGAAAAACGGAGAACAATAAAACACAACCGTAAACTCCAGAAACGCCTCTTTTAAACGCTTTAGCGTTACAAAATAGATTTCATTGAGAAGAATGAAATATGCAAAACGTGCATGAAGAAAGTGAGGACCTCGTTCAAGACGGGAGGATTGTGTTGATAGAGACGGCAGAAGGAGGACAGAAATAAACGGGGGAGTATTTGCTCGGGGCCCTGGTCTTAAAGGCCGTTACTTCATAAAGCGAAAGAAAAAAAAAAAAGAAGAATATTTTGGATTCAATGGTCGGCTACACTGTTATTGTTACGTCTGCGTGCGCCGTCGTGGGCTTGTCATTTTATTATAAAGGAGGAATAAATTATAGTTATTATATTTATATGCTTATTTGACGATTTTTTTTTTTTTTCATTTTATGGAAGACAAAATAATTCGATTGATAGATTCAACGCATTTCATATGTAGGTTATAGTGATTTTTTTTTCTCTTCTCGTGATATTATGTTCGGCTGGGTAAAAAATCGTTTTCTTTATATTTTTAGATCTTTAAAATGATTTCTAGGGGTCGCGAACATCACATTTATTAAAAATAGCTTTTTCATTAGTTTTATTTTTTTACCGTCTAAATGCTCGTTTGTTAAAAAGAAACAAAAGTGTACAAAATTAATTGTTGTTACAACAAAGAAAAACTCTGGTAATTAAAAAAAAAAAAAAAAACACATATTATTTAGTTCGCAGAAAATTAAACTGTTGAAATTATCAAGTAGTATTGAAGGGAGATTCGTCGAAAATGTTACAATTTAATTATCTATGAACTAAATAATCGTACATTTTTAGTCTGAAAAAAATAACTTTTTTGTGTTAATTATTTTTTTTAATTTGCCACTTTTTTTGAGAAATAAGTATTTAGATCGAAAAAAAAAACGAATAAAATAACTATTTTTTTTTATATAAATTTGATTCTCGCGACCTCTAAAAATTATTTAGAAGATCTAAAACAACGAGGGAAACGATTTTTTATCCGGCCGAACAAAATGTCACGAGAAGAGCAAAAAAAAAAAAAATAAAAAAAATCCCCTATATGAGATACTACATGAATTAAATCGATTTTTTTGGATTTTTTTTACAGTAAAACATTCCGTTCGGACGTTATATAATAATTAACATTGTATACGAAGTGCCTTAATATCGGAGACCAGCTAATTTAATTCGGTTAAAAAGAGGTCGGTACCCGGTGAACACATTTTGTGTACACTATATAGATACGAATTGTAATTAAAATAAAACTCAATTTGCTTCGGATACAATATATTTACATGTGTACATACAGTATCGATTAAACTCGATTGGCGACCAAAGTGAACTTATGTACGCTATCACGGTTCGTATATCATATACATACCTAATCATTTTATGTATAGACAGCACGGTATAATACTCGTGTAATGCACCTACCTGTACCTTTAACGAGGTTTTCGCGACTTCAAATGAGCCCTTTCGTCGAATAATTTTACTAACGATCCTCTATTTTTTTTTTCTCTTACACATTAATTATAATTTATTTGATTGTTTTTTTTTTTAATAATATACATAGAATTTTAATTATTTATACTGCTATATTCCACGTACAGCGGTAGAGCTGCCACCACGGCGGTTCGTATTTTGAAAACAAAAATAATAATAATAATGTAGTTTTTGATGTTGAAAATTATATTTTAATGTATTCGTCGTAGAAATAATAATAAAAAAAATAATATACAGAATAATAATACGGTCGTATCTCCTCGGCTACGGTACAATAAATTTAGCGAACAAATTAAATTTTAATTAAACAGTATACGGGTAAAACTGTAAGTCTAAGTTATTATGCATTTCCTTGTGTAAAAAGTAAATTATAATATAAACCTAAGGACTGCATTAAAATTCAATGTAATGTACTTGTATTATTCTGTTGGTAGGTTTTTTTTAATAAACATGTGTACGAAAAAAGAGCCGGCATCCACGATCTCACGATTAACTGTCGGCTATAGTTAGTCGTTGTTTTTTTTTTTTGTACAATCATAAGGGAACCCCTAAATCGAAAAATAGAAAAAGTTCAAAAGACGAGCGCACGCAACATAAGTACAATATAAATTTAAATTTAAAATTGTATTCATGTCATTAATGCGGTGTACGGAATAAGGGTTACGTTTTTAAAGTAATATTACTCGTAAATGTAAAATCGATAAAAAAAAAACCTATTTCATATTATCTGAAAAAAAACCACCGAAATCAAATAGGTATTTAAGTGTTGTAGGTACTCGAGATCTTCGTAGAATCGTTTTTAATCCAAAGACCGAGGTTTTCCTCATTATCTTAAATAATAATGAGAATTTCTAAAAATGACCTTTCTAAAATGACCAACTAGAGCCAAAATTTGACAAAAAAAAGTTTTTGTTGTTGTTAGATTAAAAAAAAGATTTTAAAAAAAAAATTATTTACAGACAGAAAAAATAATAAAACCAAGTAAAAACTAATAGATCGCTTCGTTCAGAATCTGAAATTATGTATACATATATATTTCTATCAAACAAATGTATGCAAAATGTATACCTATACAAATATTTACAACAATTTTAAAGCAATAATAATCTTTTTTTCCCCCCTGCAAACTGAACTATGACTACTACTTCACATCATAATATTCTTATTTATTTTATACGGAAATTGTCCTGTATCATATACATTTTGGTAACACTGATAAATATACTCAAGAAATAATAAATATCCCGGGTGTAATGTACAATATTATTTTGACACCTCTAGCTTAGATACAAATCACAGCTAAAAACTTCCAAGGAGAGGGCGATCTAATCATCGTAGGCCTCTCTTCAAATACACCATTGGTACCTAATGAAACCAACGATGACCAAGTACGAAAATTAAATTTCGCGAACCATCCCGGAAACTTGTCTAAAAACTACAAAATGATAATTTTAACCCAAGCACTAAATTTATTGTAGGATGGAAGTAAAATAATCAGGACTGACTGAATCCCGTTGTGAACCCAATGTTTAGACTTTCACGGGGTTCCACTTGGCACTCATAGATTGAGTGGTTCTATAAACAGAACGAGGACAGCACGTGGAAAACGGGACAAATGTTCTACAAACATTTAATGGTACTTCAGCGTTTAACAATGTACCAGAATACGACTGTGGACGTGTAGTGCAAACGCTCTTTCACGTCGTTGAAAAACGTCCAAGGCAGGAGTTTCGTGGAGATATGGGACATTTTCAAGTGATGATGGCTACACCAGAGACTGTCACATTTGGATATCGAATTTAAACCCCACTGAAAATTACGTTAACTACGAGTACCGCTAAGCAGATCAAATCATGCGTAATATTAACCTCATTGATCATAGATCATTTGTCGTATATGTTATATTTTGAAAAGTTGTTGATCTTGATATTTGATGCCTTACGTAAAATAAAAAGCTAAATGTATTTCACACCGTCGATAGACCACAGCAGTTGAGCGATGATTTAGTTAATATTCACATACACTGTATGCAGTGATAAAATATCGCAAACAAAAACAAAACGATTCTAAGCAAGTAGTATTAGTAACATTAGTCGTGTTTTTTTTTTTTTTTTAACTTTTAGCCAAGGCAACACAGAAAGCGTTTCGTGACAAAATCGAAGTATTTTTACCAACACCGTATCCGAAGGAAAAAATAATCACAAATTTTAGTGATAAACCTATAATAGCTTCACTCGGAATCTAGAATTAAGTACCACACCGGACATCGAATTATTATGCAGAAACATACAAGCCCACCCACATTAAGTTTATAATTTATACTGCCATTTTGTTTAGTTATTACTAATTTATTTATATTTATGCGCATTTTTAAAATTATTATACGTTTTAATAATATTCGATTTTTGTAATATTTATACAGTCGAAAAAGAAAAAAAAAAACCAAACAAATTCCCTATTATTTCAACGGTTTCGAAGGTGAAAAATAATATCATACGCCCGAACGCGACGATTTCACGTTAGAAGAAAAATGTACGAAAAAATTTGAGAACCACTGCGGCGTAAATCGTCCGGTATCGTGACCGAGCCGCTGTGCGTAATACTGTAATATAGAGGGTCATCCGCGGCACGGATACAAATCGTAAATAATTTCTGTGCACGCGGAATAGAATATTATGATTATTGTAATTGACGTTATTTATAACGATTACAGCGAAAATAATGTCCGCGGACGTTATGCAACGTTTCATTGTGCGCGACTGCAACAATGACACGACGACGCAATCCTTCCGTTTCCTGCTCGCGCGCGCGTTTCGTAATATCATCTGACGGCCGGTAGCGCAATGACCGGCGTGCGGGTTTAGCGCGGCAATTCGTATTTGTTTTCGATGTCCGTTTCGTTCGACCGCGACCGACTCGTTAAGAATATAATACACAATTATCCGATTGACACACGCATACGCGTTTAATATTATTGGGTCTATTTATTTTTTTTATTCCGTTTTTATCGATTTCGAACCGTTATCGCGATGCAATAAACGTCAAACGTCATCGTATCGTGTAATACGCATACGCGGCGTGCGCATTAAAACGGCGGCAGGGGGGGGGGCACTCGTTATAATCGGCTCTACAATAAACATCAAAAATCGAGTACGCGCATACGTAATAATAGTGTATATCGATATCGGCGTCGTAAAAAAAAAAAAAAATATTCTGTTCTATATTGTTTGATATTATATTATTATCCTATTATAATTATTTACGCACAACAAGTTTTTAATTTTTAATTTTATCATTTCACATCGTCCGTTCTGTATGTTATAACGATTCAACACGAATAAAAAAAACCGTTCTTAATTGGACGCGTATCGTACCGATTTGTACGACGACGAGGCCAATAATTATTGTTATTATGTATTATATAATATATCAATTATAATACGACGCCATATGACCTTATGATCCGTAAAATCACGAAAATAATAATAAAAAAAAAAAAATTCGGGAAGTTAATAGGATACATTATATCATAGGGTAAACGTTCTCGTTCTCCGTAATTATTATCGCTCTTAAAAAAAAACCATCAGTCGGTCGCGTGGTCTTTTGTTCCATACGTTTCGGTCGCGACGACTAGGCATTTTTCGAAACTTATGCGTTGCAGGTCGTTCCGTGTTTGTTGGTTGTGTTTCGTTATCTGAAACCAGTAAGCGATCCCTCGTCGTAGGAACAACGATTTTTTTAAATCTATATATCTCACATATTATGCATACTCGTGTTTCGCTCGAAAATTGAAATCTCGAGAAAAAAAATCAATGTACCAAAAACAGAGCAAATGTCTTACTTTTAAATTCGATAATTATCCTGTTCGATCCGATATTAAAACTAACGGAATAAAATCGGTTTGAATTAACGAGAAATCGACATTATTCAGTTTTACAACATATTTTGCTGTCAACATAATGAGTGATAAAAAACTGACAAACAAATGCTTGATGGCGATACAACATTGAAGGAGGACAATCACAATTAACACTATAACTGCTCCGCTCAGAGTCGTTTTAATTGCAATGATTTATTATCGGTTTCAGTATATAAACTAAATTAATCTCCATTCCCAACTTTCTAGATTTCTCACCAACTCACCAACCATAAAAAAACGAATAGAGCTTAAAATACAGGAAAATTATCCGAATTATCGAAAGGAGAATCTTAAGAATAATACTCGATAATTGCTTGGATACTAACGCTTGTCGCAGAAAATGGTGAATTCGAAACAACGAAACTCTACCGGTAACCTAGCATAGTGATGGAAATAAAAATAAAAAAAAGACTCGTTTGGGCTAGACACCGTGCCTGACATAAAAAAATAAACTTGTATGCACTCGGTAAAATGTAATTTTCTGGCAGGTGAAAGACCATTAAATAGGACATCCCAAGATGTGAAGATCGGAAGATCGAATGCCGTTAGACATTGATGCTAGTGAAACCAGATACAGACTGGTGAGCGACGAGAAGAAATTGCGCGGGAATTTTTTTGTCAGTAATGCCTTATGTCAGCCGCACGGGGTAAATAGTCTTCCAGATTAAATATAGACGCCGTTGGGATATTTTACGTACTCGTACCTCGCTTGAAAATTAAAATATCGAGAAAAAACCAACGTACTAAATACAGCCAATTGTCTAAAATGTATGTTTGATAATAGGCCAGATCACTCATTTATTACAACTGACGGCACGAAATCGGTTTGGCTGTACGAAAAATCGACACCGTCCGATTTTCAACGTTAGCCGTAACAAATATATGTATATAAATATCAATATACCTTTTTTATTTTTTTTTTTGCTATTTGCTATTTTATGTCCGTATACATACCCTCGTATTTTCACCTGTGTCGAGAGACGTATTTTATTAAAAAAAAAAACCAATATATTGTAATATAATATTCGGTAGTTTTCCCCCGAGTGACTATAAATTCTACAGTGTATTTCGTTGCGGTTATTACAATACCTTAATTATAATATCCGCGTAAAAAAAAAAATATAAATAATGAGTTGATTTTATAATATGTCCATATCTGTACACGTTTTCGAGGGTGGAGAGTGGTCGGGGGAATTCGCCTACAACGTTCGAAATATTTTTACAAAAATGATAATTGTATCTATGCGCCTAAAATACAAAACGGTATTTTTTATTCATATCATCACACCATATTATAAAAACTATATTATAGTAACTATATAGACAACGATATTATTAAATCCAACAAATAAATTATCCCTAAACTGCAGTAGCCACGTCCGAGTATACGTGTATGACATTATTAAAATGAAATTTAAAACATCTGTAAGTATTCAAATTAATATATTTTAGTCGAGATAAAATAATAATAAAACACAAAAAAGGGAGAGGGCGATGCATCACCTCACTTGAGTACGTCAATAATTGTCTGTGGTCGACTACTGCAAGCCGGTTAAAAGTGTTCTAGGCGAATGGGTACTCAGGAAGTGTAAGACTCTTCATTTAAAACCGATCGTTTATCAATGTTAAATGTTAAATTTTAGGTAAAATTATAGTAGTTTTCGATCATGTTCACAGCAGTATTATTTTCATATAGTTCATATAGTTTACAAAAGTTTTGAAATTATAATAATTTATTCAAACACGTTATTCAACAGTGTCGCAATTACAGCGGGGGAAATAATGGTATTTAATATAATAAATCTCCCGGAGTATTTTTATTATTTTTTTTTTTTTTTATAAATAATAAGTTAATATTGTAATCGTCTTTAAGATTTTTTGGCCTGTAAATGTGTAATATTTTAAACTTAAAATTAAATTTAAGTTTCATTGTTAATTAACAACGGTAAGAGGCAAAAGACGTCTTAGGATAATTGGGACGGCTGCAGCCACTGTCATAGGTGATTTAATGTATATCTGTAAAAACCATAAGCTTCGTCGCTCCATTCAGAATCTAAAATTGAACAGTTTAAATTTATTTTACGCTACTTACAATAATTTGTGTTTCCTCAACAGTAACAAACGTAATCCAAGTTAAAAGAAAAGACAGTAAAATGTCATTTTATATTTTTGACAAAATAAATTTAAAGGTTTTTCTATAACTGATCCAAAAAAAAAAAAAAAAAAAAAAAAAATAAATATGCAAACAAACGAAGCTTAAGATTTCAATATAACCGGTTACTTGAATTTTATTAAATAAATAAAATAGTTGACATATGGCTAAAAATTGGTGATTTTTTTTTTTTTTTCTTTGAAATAAATATTGTTTAATTCGTTTAGTGCTTATAAAGATGTTTAGTATAATATTCAGTTAGGTTTAGTTTTTTAAAAATAAAATGTTATATTTTTACGGTCCAAAGGCGGTTATTAAGACGGATATTGCCTACTATGAAAAGACGATAGGTATTTAGTTGTTTTTTAATTATAAAAATGAAACAAAAAAAAAAATAATAATAATTTGTGCCGTTTTCCGACGTCATTCCCGTAGACATATTTTCACGCGGATTTTTGTGCACTGCGTTATTATTTTCGTTAATTTCCCCACCCGCTACCCGTCAAACGCTGTTTTACGCTGTCCGCAGGAATAAGTTCCGCGGAGGGTGTAGGGGAGCCACAAATAATACAATATAATAATATTATACGCGGACCGAACGCCCGCCGCCGCCGCCGCCGCCGCCGGTGTAGTCGCACAACCGCCGCCGGTGTAGTTTTTCCATTGTCCGACGTTATTGCGGCTCGGTGGAAATTATTACCGGGAGAGAAACCGGGGGGAAAAAAAAAGACGAAATAAAAATATAAAACTCGGCTATACGGAATATTATCGGCACGCATTAACAATTTCGTCGGCCGCCCGGCGCAATGCCCTGCGCGTAACCCCCTTCGACGCTCCCCCCATCGGCCCATCGAACCCCCCCCT